TTCATGTTTGGAAACTTTTAACTTATTTAATAGTACATTCTCAAATCACTTGATACTTTAAGGTAGTTTTAATGATCTTTACTACATTCGAGGAAGTGTTACTATTGATATTATTGTAAATGAAATTATTTTTTTCTTCATCACGAGCAAGGTAATGATTGAAAAAATGACTTTTCAACTAGCAAGTTCATCAATGCTCAAATTAACTTTAATGATCAAATTAATTACCGTGTCAATAGAAAAAGTAAAGCAAATATTAGTAACTTTTGCACCAATAAGATTAACTCACACATATCTCAAGAGATGACAATTCTATATGGTGCAAATGATAATTTCACTCATTTTACTACATTTCGAACAATAATCATCTACTGTTGTATGTCTTTTTTTTTTTTCATTCATCATTCGAAAAAAACTATTGAAAAATTAGCAATTACATAAATTGATAATTATTTTTGGGAATCAAAAGCTTCCAAATGGTATTCGAAGCCATATTTGTGAAGGTCTGGTTCGTATGATTTAAAAATTTGTTAGTATATTTAATTAGAAACTATCCATTATTTGAGTGAGTTCAAATAAATTCGTTAATTATATATCATTTAGATTATCCTCTAATATTCAATATCTTAAAATATGTACTTATAATAAAAAAATTTTAAAACTCAACTCAATTATAATTGTTACTAGACAACGTATAAATGTTAATAATTTTAACTAACTTGTCACTATAAAATGCGTGATTGATTTTATAAAATAAGGTCGGATTCGCTATTCAAATATATTTTTAAAATTTTATACTTTGTCTGTATTCTATCTCCCATTTAAGCTCCATTTTCAGGATTTGGATACATTTGAACAGAGTTCTATCAAACCAATAAAGTATTAAACAACAAAATTGAGTTTAAACATAAGTTTAATAGTAATTATTCCAATAAAAGTAATTAATTAATAATCAATACAAGACATTCATCTTGCCTCGAGTGACAACTAACCAAAGCATATCCTACTCAAAATTCCTTAAACTCCCCGTATCACTAATTCACAAAAACCTCACATCATTTCTTCTTAACTCGTGATTAACGTGAAAAATATATACACCACTCTTTCATCCTTAAAAAAAATCTGTTGATTTATTTAAAAAAAAAATAAAAATGAAACGCTGTCGTTTTATTCTCGGTAGAATAAACTCATATGATTTTTTTATTGATTTCCAGAAGCATAAACCGGAAATAATCCGGTGGTTCGATCCCATACTGGCATCGGTTTGACCGTTTTTTGGCCCTCTCGTTTTTGTCTCTTCTTATCCTTTCCTCTGTTTGCATCCTCTTCCCCGCTTCCAGCCTACGCTATATGACGCCGGTGATGCGCACGTTCTTCTCTTACACCCGCTTTCAACATCCTCCATTTTAACTGTACTTTCGTTAGGCAGAGTAGCTGTTCTCCGCTCTGTGTTGGAATCTTCCGAAATTTCTGTACCTACACGCAGAAAGAGACTCACTGCCTTGGCCACTCTAAACCCGTTGAGCTACTGTCTCAAGTTTTATTTTGGCGAGATCTGATTTGCAGCGCTAAATTTTGCTTTTCTGACTCTTCTTCTTCTTCTTCTTGTGGTATCTGAGATGATTATGGCATTTACATAGGTGAGCTTGGTTTTAAATTTGTAGCTTGCTACGTTTAATGGTGCTTTATAGTTTCAGTTTTATGTTTTAATTCAGTTTTTTCCTTCTAATTTCAACGATTTCACGTGTTTTCTCTGCAATTATGTAGTATTTGAAGTTTGAACAGTTGTTTGTTGTATTTGATTTTTTTAACTTTTTTTATTTTTCAAAATTAGCTTCAGAGTATTCTCTCTCTCTCTCTCTCTCTCTCTCTCTCTCTCTCTCATGCAATGATATGGCTTTTTTTGTCATTTTTCTTTTCGTTTAGTTTTTCACAGTGGAGCAATCATTTCATGACATTTGGTGCTTTTTTAATTGTTAAACCCGTACAAGTTTAAGATTAAAGGTTTCGAACTAGCGTAGGTTTAAGATTTAGATTAAGGTTTAGAATTTTCATTCTCTTTTGGGTTTCTGATATCAGCTTAGTATTAGTATTCGTAATTGGTGTTTTGGTTGTCCTGTAGATAATTCATCTGGATTATTGATTGTTAATTGTGCGATTTTGGTAGTAATGTAAATCTTTTGCAAACTGCTTAGCTAGTTATTGTTTCATCATTTGATGATGTTAGTATCTAATGTTTATGTGATTTGATTCAGGGTTTGAAGAATGATTTGAGATGCTTTGTTAGATCCGTCTTAGTTAATAGCATATTATGCATTAAAATGGGACGTGAAATGGTGATGGATTCATGGTTTGGCAGTTTGTGGTCAAAGGGTGCTTCGGTTAGCGGGAAAGCAGAGACAGGAATTTTGGCATTTGAAGTTGCAGGGTTGATGTCTAAGGCGGTCAGTTTATGGAATTGTTTGAGCGACAAGGAGTTTGTCAGATTAAGGGAAGAGATTCTGGATTCGGTTGGAATTCAAAAACTTGTCACTGACAATGATGATCATGTCCTTGTGGATCTTGTATTAAACGAAATAATTGAGAATTTTGGATATTTAGCGAGGTCTGTGGCTAGACTTGGGAAGAGGTGCTTGGACCCTGTTTATCATCGATTTGAAAATTTCATCAATGATCCTTTTCTGAATGGTTTTGAATGGTTTGGATGGGAATATAGGTGGAAGAAGATGGAGAGGAAAGTGAAGAAAATGGAGAGGTTCGTTGCTGTCACAATGCAGTTGACTCCGGAACTTGAAGTTTTGGCAGAGCTTGAGCAGACTCTTCGGAGAATGAAGAGAAATGAGTCAGACAAAGTGAAATTGCCCGATTTTCAGCACAAGGTAATGTGGCAAAGACACCAAGTAAGAAATCTACGTGAAACATCTCCCTGGATTAGAAGCTATGACTATGTTGTTCGGCTTTTGGTGAGATCACTTTTCACAATACTCGAGAGGATCAAAGACGTGTTTGGTCTTCGTCAAATGGAATATGATTTTCAATCTCTGACAAGTGATATCCTCTCTCGTAGTAACTCTTTTTCTGTGATTTTGCCATCTTCATTATATCCTTCTGAGGATAATCCAAGTGGTTCCTCCTCTTCAGATCCTCTTGCTAGGTCTGTCTCAAGGTCAGCTCTAAGTCTAACTGGTGGCAAGAATAAAAGGAATAACAAGCATGTAACCAGACGTTTTGGTACCATTGGGTCCTTCAAAGGATGCATAGTGCACGGAAGTGAATCCCCCGTTCTGGCGAGCTGCAAGCCAATTAGTGGCGGTTCTATGAGGTTTGATGGTGTTTATTCGAGAAGCTTAAAAAAAATGGAAAACTCAGATACGGGATGTAATAGAATATATTTGAAGTTATCTTTGTCGAATTCCAAGCTGCTGTTGGCTGCTCCTCCATATACACTTGGCGATGCTGCTTTAGCCCTCCACTATGCGAATGTGATTATATTGATTGAAAAACTAGTTTCGTCTCCTCAATTGATTGGCCTTGATGCGAGAGATGACCTGTATAATATGTTGCCTACCACCATAACAACTGCTCTGAGGACTAGACTTAAGCCATATGCAAAAAGCTTGGGTTCATCTGTCCATGACTCTTCTCTTGCATCGGAATGGAGTCTAGCACTGTTGCGAATATTGGAGTGGCTAGCTCCACTGGCTCACAACACAACAAAATGGCACTCTGCTCGTAACTTTGAGCAACAGCATGTGGTTCCTGGGCCAAATGTATTTCTGGTACAGACCCTCCACTTTGCAAACCGGGCCAAAACTGAAGCTGCAATCATGGAGCTTCTTGTTGGTTTAAACTATCTTTGCAGGGTTGGTAAAGAACAAAAAGAAGAAAAAACTTCTGTAGAGTCTTCCAGCAGCCGAACTTATGGGAGACATGTTGTCAGCAAAGATGACATTGCTGTCTGTAAATTATGAAGGATTTGGCTGTGCTCCAAAGATTGGGTGCCAGAGGCCATTATATTTGATGTTGAGAAAAGAGTAAGCATTCATGTCTTCTACTCATTTGAGGTATTATTGTCATGAGCATGGGTCCTAGTATTGTATCCTTACTAAAACATATTAGCCACTGTTTGGATGTAGTGTATGGATACATTATACATGTGTTTAGGACATCCAGTCAAAATCTTGGATTATTAAGGCTTTGAGAAATGTCCTTGTGTTGCTGGGACCCTAGATTCTTTTATTTGTTAACATATAAAGTGCCTGACCCACTTTCTCTCCTAAATTATAGTTTGTATTGTAATATAGTCTCTATGATTGTAATTTTTAAGGTACAAATGTAAAATGTCTTTTACTGTTAGTGACAAGTGTATGCTCGGACTGAGAGTATTCAAATAAGTACTTGAAATCAGAGTATTCAGAATTTTATTATTCAACTCAAAAGTAACTTCTCCTCAATTAACTACTCCTTAGAACTAAATATGACTTTTAATGTGGGAATTCGCTACTTGTCAGGAGAGAAATCAAATGATGAAGAGGGGATCTTGCGGAGAAGACTACCAATGGCTACAGGAGAAGAAGAAGAAGAAGAAGAAGAAGAAGAAGGTTCAGGTTGCTGATAAATCCGCCGGAAAATGATGAAAGACCATTGCAGAAACTGTGGAATAACATGGGTCTAATAGAGATAAAATGCAGGTTACCATCACGGTCAATTATAAATAAATTGTTCGTTCCAGCACAAAACGCCAAAACCCACTTCTTCTTTCTATTAAAAATTAATTATCAAAAAATAAAATAATAGTTTTTATGTAAATAATTCATTAATATAAATAGTCTAATATTTTATTTAAAAATAATTATCAAAATTAAATTTTATATTAGTTTAAAAATCTTAATCTAATAAGTTAAAGTAGATTATTAGTCTTTAATGAAAACTGAAATGATCGTTAGTCAAAATACGGCATGACTTGCTCTATGCTAATTCATTTAAAAGTGTCTTAAAGGTGACATGCCAACAAATACACCAACCCAAAAACGAGTTACTTGCTTTAATTACAGGAAACGTAATAATGTAAACATTTATAAATTATTAGAATAATGTTTCTTAATTTAATCAACTTTGAATAATCTACGTAAGACTTATACTTGGAAGTTAGAGTAATTTACACGAGATAAATTTTTATTATCTTAATAAAAGTTAATTCTTTTAATTTATTTAATTAAAAAGTAAAAGTAAATTGATATGAATAAAAAGCATAAGAAATTAAATTATTTTAAATAAATATAATCGACAAAATTATAATAATTATTAAATTATTAAGGGAGAAGTGGAATATAATAATGGGCCATTACAGAAATTTAATTTAAGATACGCATGAAACCGTATGTATGCTTTAGAGCAGCGTATACCAAAAACGGCAAAAACTAATAAATCACGTGACACGCTTAACTGGTACTGCCAGTAATGGTTCGCTCTTTCTCATGGTCACCCCTATCTTCTCCTTCATGTCTAACCTCTCCCTGTCGAGACTCTGATCAAGTTCCCAATCAAACCGACGAAGCAACGAGGCCAACACCAGGTGCAGAATTCGTTGAGCCAGTGCCAGACCTGCACACATTCTTTTTCCAGCTCCAAATGGAATTAGTTCGTAGTGTTGACCCTTGAAATCTATCGTTGACTCACTAAACCTCTCTGGTTTGAAACTCAAAGGATCATCCCATACTTCTGGGTCTCTTCCGATTGCCCAGACATTCACCAGAGCTTGAGTATTCTTAGGTATGCGATACCCCGTGAATTCAGTATCTTGTCTTGCTTTTCTTGGAACTAAAAATGGAATTGGAGGGTGCAGCCGGAGAGTTTCTTTTATAATAAATTGCAGGTATGGAAGATTAGCTATGTCGTTTTCTTCTACCTTCGTCTTTGATCCGAGTACCTGAGTGATCTCTGCTTTCGCCTTTGCCATGGATTCAGGGTTGAGTAGGAGCTCTGTCAATGCCCATTCAATTGTGCTGCTTGTTGTTTCTGATCCCGCCACAAATATTTCCTGCAAATTTACATGTGGGTCATGCTTTGATAACATATATATGTACATATATGTCATATGATGATCAAAGTTTACCATTATAAAAATGTTAATGTCCCGCTCAGAAAATCTTGCTGGTTCGTCCTTTCCGGTTCCTTCAAATTCAAGCAACAAGTCTAAGAAATCCTTCCGCTGTCCTTCACGATCTCCAACTTTCTTCTCTTTAATCCTCTCTTTCACAAACTTCGAAGCTATATCTATAGCATTGCCTACGTCCTTCTCCATGTTCTTCTTCAACCCTTGAGGATCCAACCACTGTAACCATGGAAAGGAATCAGCTAAGTTGGGTTTACTTGTCCATTCTATAAATCCCATCATTGCCTTAAAAAACTCTGACCCATCTCTCGAAGCCGGTTCGATCAAGTCCCGCGAGATCATAAGATTTCCAAGCAGATTGAATGTCATCAAGAACACGAACCTCGCCACGTGGATTCCAACCCCGTGTTTCTTCTCAGCTTCTTCTTCGATCCAGACTAGCATTTGGTCAACGGATTTCTGACGAACAGAGACTGTCTCCTTGATTCGTTTGTTCACCAGCATCTCGACCGTGACCAGGCGCCTCAACACTCGCCAGTACGGGCCGTAGGGTGCCAGAGACAAGGAGCTGAGATGGAAGTCCTGCGCGCGCATGACCTCCGTGACGGCGCGGTCGAGGAAAGCGTGGTCGTGGATCTTGAAGAACTCGGTTGCTGCTTTGGTGGAGAGGATTACCACGCTGTTTACGGCGCCAATTTTGAGCCATAAAATATCGCCGTATTTTTTTCTCAGTCCTGCTGAAGTTCGATGTGGCATGGTGCCGAGATCGAACAGGTTTCCGACAATTGGCCACCCTGGTGGCCCCGGCGGAAGCCGGCGGTTGAGGAAGCTCCGCTTGTAGAGGAGGAGCAGGAAGAGTAGCGGTGGGAAGAAAATGAGCCAACCCATTGTTTAAAACAATGATTAGTTCTTGCTAATTGGATTAATCACATATTGGTGTTTAATATTTATATGCATTCTAGGTTTACATCGATTTGTTACCAATCATCATCTAGACGTTGAGTTTTATAAATATCACACAAACTTCTTTTATTCGTAAATTTTATTTGTTTTAATATTTTGTTAGAATAATTTAAAACTATAATAATTTAATTATATATTTATTTGAACCATATCTTTATTTTCTAAAAAGCATTTCAAAAAATAAGAATATGGCATGCAGAATTTAGGGTATTAGACGTATGTAATATTAATTTCAAGAAGAGCACTTAAATTCGTTTAAAATATTAAAATAAATAAAACTGGGACAGTTTAAAAATAACTATCTATTAACCATAAATATATGTCTTCTAAAAAATATTCATTGGCGTAAGAATCTGCAGGCTAAACTAAAATACTAACACGTAGTAATATAAACGTATCATTCTCTTAATTTTTCTTTCTAGAAGGCTGACATTGTTTTAGAAAAATGACAAAAAGAAATACCCATGTAAAGTTTCAGCGATAAAAACGGTTTATATATGTATTTATACATGCATGGGATGAAAACGTGAAGTTTAAAGTTTAATCGATAAGAACCTGTTATATATTTATTTATGTAAGTACGCACGTATATATATACATATATATGTGTATGGGATGCCGGAGAGTACATTCGTTATATCTGACAGTATAAAAAAGAAAAGAACCAGAAGATCAGATGGCAGGAGGGATTATATATGTGATACAATAATAATTTTTTACCAAACTGTTCTTGAAGCCTGTTAGGGTATCAAGAGTATCAGATGGCATATTATACATATACATGAACATATGTGTGTGCATGTACATGAGTATGAATTTACCGCAAGACCCATCTCTCATGTCTCGGTCGCCAGATCCTCAACGAGCTGGCGACCAATGCGGTGTTGTTCGCAAAGACATGGAGCCGTCAAATCTTCTAATCAACTTGGGAGGTTGATGCACGATAACGGCAGTAGAGTCAGGTCAGGTTGGCGTTGTTGATAGGGGTGTATAAATTCCGGTCTGGGTTTAGTTGATTTTTTTTTTTTTAAGGGGAAGAAAATTTAAATTTTTGTTAATTTAAAAATTAATAATTTAATATATTTTTAAATAATATTATATATAAATGAAAAATTTTCACTAAATAAAAAATAAATATAAATAAAATAAATTATAATTTTTATATTAATTTTTTAACATTCTTCTTTAATATAAAAATAATAAATATTAAATTTATTTTTGTTGAAGCACTTCTCTCCACTAATATGTTTTGTTTAATCTTCATATTTTCAAACAGTTATCACTAATTTTCAATTATTTATACATTTTTCATCAATCTTTAATTATTGATGTATTTCTTTTCGATTTTAAAGAAAGAGAATATTTTTCTTGAGCAACGTTTGTTTTTTCATTTTTAAACTTATAATTTTTATATAGATAGATATATATATATATATTATATTTTATAATTAAAATATTATAGTTTATCTTGCACGAATAATTTTGTTTATTATAGTTGTCTTTGTTGCATACTCTCTGTGATAGAAATGTTCCATTTTTTTATGTTGACGAAGACTTGGTTTTAAGTTAATTTAGAAACACAATACTTATATTTAGACCTGAAAAGCAAAAAATTTAGAAAACTTAAAAATTAATTATTAATATTTACAAAATATTAAAAAACTAATGTTTTGAAATGATTTTAAAATTCAAACATCAAATTCTAAACAAAAAAAAAAAAAAAATCAGACCTAAATTTTAATGTAACGTATAGTTTAAGCATTAATTTTTTGAGGTAATTCAAAAATTAAAATAATAATTTAACCTAGTTTTTATAAACATAACATTTTCTTTTTCATATTATACAAATCCAAACCCAGCCCATGGAAACCTTAATAAGCCCATGGCATCAGTGTTGAACGGTACCGTTTCTCTACCCTTTACCTGGTCGAACGACCAAGCAACACAAAAGTTCCTAGGGTTTTCTAAGACCGCATCTAAACGGAGAGAAAGCAAAGCCTTCTCTCATCGGTGCCGCCAAAACGAAGCCATAAGAGGATAGAGCAGAGCAGGGAGGCAACGTGAACCAAAAAGAGAAACAAGGAGGCAGAAAAAGTGAAGCCACAAAGAATTACAAGGTTGCATACTTGAATCGAAGGATACATCTCCTGGTTCTTCTTAAGTTAGTTTGCTTTAATCCTTGAGTTGATTCTACTGCACTTCAATTAGCCTGTTATCTTGTTAGTCTGTTCTTTGTATCAATCAGCTTTCTGTGTCTATTTTGTACGGAATACATTTTTATATAACCGTTGAATCTAAAAGTGTGATTTTGATTTCCATTGTATTTCCATTTCCCGAATAAGGGTCGGCAGTGGTCGATAGCTGATTGACTCTCTGATCATTTTTTTATTGCTAAAATGAATGAAACTATGGCCGTCTTTTTCATCAAAACCTGGTCGAGGATTTTTAGTTAGAAAAAATGCCTAGTTTGGTGTTCAACTTGATGTTTAGGAAGGCTTAAGGGGAAGGTGGCTGGCTGTTAAATCAAAAGGATTAATCATGATGCACATATGCAGTACATTTACTGATAATTCTTCCTTGAAGATGTTGGTACACTACTTTGAGTGATTTATTGGGCTTACTTTTGTATTTTTTTGGGTAATCGTTGGTTATGTTTCTGATTTCGTTTAAGTTCAAATCGAGAATTTTTAGCCAAAATTACTGAGTCTGTGTCACTGGGTAAATTGGCTTGCACTTTCACGTAGGGGACCAGTTCAGCACCTAATTTAATGTTTTAGCATATGATTTTCCAATAGATAAGCATGGTTCCTTCTGAGTTAGAATTGAATACTTTCAAGGAGGTCCATTGTCACCCTGGTTTTTTCTGTATTTTACTCTCCTCATAGCAGGTTCATTTCAGTTGATCTGTTGTCATTTCCTGTCATGAAATTGACTCACTTTTTTTTGTGTTATTGTGATTAATTTGGGCCATTGTTGTCACCACGTACTGTTTGTTTGAGCTGATAGTCAATTTCTATTTAGATGTAAGAAAATTGAGGAAGTTAAAGAAAAATTCAATAGTGATTTAACTTTTTTTTTTTGAGTTATGATAGAAACAGTGCAATTTATTGAATTTGGAGAGTTTTAGCTGGTGGACATTCATATTCAGGGATTTTTAACAAATTTAATGAACTGAATCACTAAACCCTTTTTAATCCCGATCTGCATTTTAATCCCGATCTGCATTTTAATCCTCTAAGGATAATTTATTGTATTTACTTAATATGTTGATGTGAATTTGTTGCTTAGTTTTGACATGGTCATAGTTTCCTTATTTTTAATTGCTTATGCTATTTCATTGGTCTTCAAATTGCAGATTCTTGGTAACTCGAAGACTTAGCTTATAACGTTCTCAAAAAATCATGGCGTCACGTTTTTGGACTCAGGTTTTGTGATGTTTCTCTTCAATAACATTTATCTTTAATTTTACAGTTTGTAGTCTAATCAATTGTTTGAACCCATTGATTTCAGCTGTGCTTTTGTTCGTCTTTGTATTTTATCAATAACATCGTTCTTTTTGTGTACAGGGTAGCAGTGACAGTGAGGAAGAGTTGAGTGATCATGAGGAGGAAATTGATGATGTGCCAGGTGGTGAGTCCTCAGCCCAGACCACAACAAATAGGTATCTGCAAGTAAATGCAAGTGACAGTGATGATTCAGATGGCCAAAAGCGGGTTGTTAGGTCAGCTAAAGACAAGCGTTTTGAAGAGATGTCAGCCACCATAGACCAGATGAAAAATTCTATGAAGATCAATGACTGGGTTAGCCTGCAGGATTGCTTTGACAAGCTAAATAAACAGCTTGAGAAGGTAATGCGCGTTACAGAGTCTGAAAGGGTCCCCACTCTTTACATTAAAGCTCTTGTGATGTTAGAAGATTTCTTGAGTCAAGCTTTGGCAAATAAGGATGCAAAGAAGAAAATGAGTAGCAGTAATGCCAAGGCCTTGAATTCAATGAAACAGAAACTGAAGAAGAATAACAAGCAGTATGAGGATTTAATTAATAAATATAGGGAGAACCCTGAGAGTGAGGAGGACAGGGATCGTGGTGAGGAATCGGAGGAGGAAGAAGAATCTGAGTCAGAATTTGAGGAGGACTACACGAACATAGTTACAAGATCGGAATCTGGAGATGAAGAGGAAGATGAAGAAGTGGATGACAAGGATGATCGTGCTTGGGAGAAGAAGCTGAGCAAGAAAGATAAGCTCATGGATAAGCAGTTTATGAAGGATCCCAGTGAAATCACCTGGGAAATTGTTAACAAGAAGTTTAAAGAGGTTGTTGCTGCTCGGGGAAGGAAAGGAACTGGAAGGTTTGAGCAGGTTGAACAGCTTACTTTCTTGACAAAGGTTGCCAAGACTCCTGCACAGAAACTTGAAATTTTGTTTAGTGTTATCTCTGCACAGTTTGATGTGAATCCAGGGCTCAGTGGACATATGCCTATAAGCGTGTGGAAGAAGTGTGTCCAAAATATGTTTGTCATACTGGACATTCTTGTTCAGTTTCCAAACATTGTGGTGGATGATATGGTTGAACCTGAGGAGAATGAAACACAAAAGGGGGCAGATTATAATGGGAAGATTCGAGTTTGGGGAAACTTGGTTGCGTTCCTAGAAAGGATCGATGTGGAGTTTTTCAAGAGCTTGCAGTGTATAGATCCATACACTCGTGAGTATGTCGAGAGACTGAGGGATGAACCTATGTTTTTGGTTCTTGCTCAAGATGTCCAGAATTATTTAGAGCGAATTGGCGATTATAAATCAGCTGCAAAGGTTGCTTTAAGGAGTGTTGAGCTCATTTATTACAAGCCACAGGAGGTTTATGGTGCCATGAGTAAACTGGCTGAGCAGACAGAAGAAGTAGATAATGGAGGTGAGGAGCCGAAGGTGGTTGAGGAAAGTAGGGGTCCTTCTCCATTTATTGTTATTCCTGAGGTTGTACCTCGTAAGCCGACTTTTCCTGAAAGTAGCAGAGCATTGATGGATGATTTAGTGTCTCTTATATACAAATGCGGTGATGAGAGGACCAGAGCCCGTGCAATGCTTTGTGATATTTACCACCATGCTCTTCTAGATGAGTTTTCAACTGCGCGGGACTTGCTGCTGATGAGTCATTTGCAGGACAACATACAACATATGGACATCTCAACACAAATTCTTTTTAACAGGGCTATGGCCCAGGTCGGTCTTTGTGCGTTTCGCGTTGGTTTAATTGTTGAAGCACAGAGTTGTCTTTCTGAACTATATTCCACTGGAAGGGTTAGGGAATTACTTGCTCAAGGAGTGTCACAAAGTCGATATCATGAGAAGACTCCAGAACAGGTACTCATTGTTCCATACAGTTTATTTTCCCTTGCTATTCCCTTGGTTATATTACTTTGTGGTTGTGAAGTTCTGGACTGATATATCTGATGTCTCCCTAAAGTTTTGTGCTTTGGTTTTTGTTATTGACGGGTATTATCTTTTGGGATTTAGATGCTCTCTTACTTTTTGAGAAGTTATAATTTCAAACTCAAACTTTTCATGTTAGTGCCATTGTGAAGTTTGGTTTCCTGTTACCTTTTTGACCCCTTTCCTAACTGTAGTGTTGTTGACATGCTTTATTTGTATTTCCTTGAAACCATCTTATTGGATTGTGTTCAATGAATTTTGTATCAAGAATTGACATGTGGTATATAGGTCGCACCCTCTTGGTGGCTCTGTTTATAAGCTATATAAACAATAATAATAATTATTATTATTATTATTTTTTCCTAAAATAAGAATTGACATTTCAATTCTTCTTGAAACTAGTGACAATTAACTTAAACTGGCTGTTTTTTTTCTTTGAGTATCTTGCTTCACTGGGCCTTTAGTAAGGTTGTAGAAAGTTTAAATAGAATCCAAAATCTATTAATCTGATGCTACTTCGAATTAGGATCTTTTTTGATTTGAAACACCTTAGTTTTATAGTTGTTGGAAAACATTTTGTTTGAATATGTAAATACTACATTTAGTCATACTTGCACATCTGATATACAAGTAAGATTACTGAGAATATGGTATATTGATCCTGTCTTTAGCGAGGTCCACCAATGATGCAGAAGTAAAACCTTCATTGTTTTTCATGTTTACTTCCATCACAGCATCATGGTTGACCATGGGTAAAAAAATTGTTCAATTATTTCGCTCATTAGACAGTTGTTTTGGGCAATTATTTGTAGTAGACATATTATCAACTTAAAACGTGTGGCTTCAATCTTATATATTGCTTTAAGGTGTGAAAAGTTCAAAAACGTTCCATGCATTGCATCTTGAAGATAACCATATCGAAATTGTTGAATGTTTACATCTGCAAGATTCTTATTCGTCACCTTTATTTAATTTAGTGGCATTAACATA